AGGGATTTTCCCCCAGAAGATGAACCTGCAGAGACTCAGCCAGCCGCCCCCCCGCCCGCCCTGGGACACCTCAGTCCAGACAGAGGTTTTCTTACCCGCTTCACATGCACTTACATACACTGTACTTAATCTGTATTTTTTGTATTTTTATTTATTTATTTGTATTTTTTTTTGCTTAACCTCCTGAGACCCTGTGTCCTCATAAGAGGACGTTGCATTTTTGCCTCTCTTTACCATGATACTTCTTTTTTTCTTTCAGCTTTGACCTCTTGGCCTCATAGCAGATGCTATCAGACACTGTTTGAAATCTAAAGTAAAATGGTTTTATACATTTCCATCCAATCATGTTCTTATTGTGTAATAGAAAAAATGTAAATAAGTCAATGGGACTGTCAGAACAAAATTGTAAAAACATTTAATTAAATATGTATCTCATACATCTTTAAAAAAAAAGCTAAAATGCATGCCAAATAAAAGCTCGGGTCTCAGGAGGTTAATTTAATTTTAACTTGATACTTTTTGCCCTTTAATCTGCTGGTAACCTTAATTTCCTGAGGGAGTCTTCCCAAGGGATCAATAAAGTTCTGTCTAAGTCTAAGTCTATGCGTCAAAACAAAGCTGATTCCAGCTCATAGCTGCATCCTCGTGGCTTTTTTCTGGTTCTTCCTCTGCTAGTTTCGGCCTTTTTCGCAGCCCAGAGGGATGACAGACTCGTCCTGGACCTGCCGGCCCAGTGAGCCCCCCTTCCACCTGGAGACCCCCACAGCCGCCCAGGTCCTCTTCGGGAGCCCAGACCCAGAGTGAGAACAAACTAGGGATGTCTTCATCCCGATCCAGGCCTATCAGAGCCTGTGCTAAAGTCTAAAGTTATTTATCTACTTACTTAGCTGTCAGACTCATGTTGAACAGGGATTTACTCTGATAACAACTTAATGGTTAGGACACAGACCTGTGGTTACAGATGCTAATGCTAATGCTAATGCTAATGCTCTGATAACAACTTAATGGTTAGGACACAGACCTGTGGGTTACAGATGCTAATGCTAATGCTCTGATAACAACTTAATGGTAAGGACACAGACCTGTGGGTTACAGATGCTAATGCTAATGGGTTATTTAAGGTTTTATATGCTAATGCTAATGGGTGATTTAGGGTTTTTTGTCTCTTTAAGAAATATATAAAAACCTTTTAAAGCCAAAGAAAAAAAAATCAAATCCCATCCCAAATGTGAGCTGTGATAGCTATTTATGCACTATTGAACAAAGGGGGTCACATCTCTGGTGGAAAACCTCCAAAACCGGCACAAATGGAGCCTTTTTTATTGGGGTGCCTTCAAACTAGGGATGTCCCCATCCAGCTTTTTTCACTTCTGATCCGATCCCGGCCTATCAGAGCATGTTTTAGTCTAAAGTTATTTAGCCTACTTACTTAGTTGTCAGACTCATGTTGAACAGGGATTTACTCTGATAACAACTTAATGGTTAGGACACAGACCTGTGGGTTACAGATGCTAATGCTAACGCTAATGCTCCTGTGGGATCAGACTTTTAAAAAACTGGATTTGGAGTCTGGATCTGCATTTTCTCAAATATTTTTTTGCAAATATCGGCGGCTGATCGGATCCAGATATCGGATCGGGACGAGCCTAGAACAAAATTCAGTTTAAACCTCTTATTTTCTTGTGTGATGATCTGGTTTAAAGTCCAGTCGTTGTATCTTATCCAGCCAAACTGATGAGAGACATCACGGAGCAGCCTCCTTCTTCCTCCAACAACCGGAGGACCCTGTTGAGCCTAAGCTGTTTGAGGAGGACCCCCCATCCAGTTTGGGGCAGGAGACGCTGAGAGAGAGGGTGAATGCTTCCTAAAACATCCACATTAGCACAGCTTCACTTTTCCTTCGGCTAATATGATCAAATTCAGTTTCAGCTTCTCACTTTGGGAACGTGAAGCCGAAAATCTATCTCCCAGATGAGACACTGGTCGGGTCCTCGTCTCTCCAGTGAGCATCTCCTGTCTAGTTTTATCATTCTATAAGCTTTACGGTGCTTTTTATGTTGGCTGTTTCTTCTTTTACGTTGCAGACCCACGTCTGACTCTCAGCCAGCTGGAGTGGAGGTTAGTTTTTTAGACTCTGCTGCCCCCAAGTGTTTAAAGGAGACATATTACGCCCTATTTCAACAAGTTAAGCTAGTTCCCTGGTGTCCTAATGTCATGTATGTGACAAGCTTTGGTCAGAATCCCATAAGGATGAAGCCCAATAGCAGTTCAGTCCCTCTGCCTAACCCTAACCCTAACCCTAACCCTAACCCAAAACAGCCCCGTTCAGAGCGCTCGCTTTGGAGTGCCTGTCTCTTTAAATGCAAATGAGACACAGGCAATCCACCCACTTCTTCAGGGAGGTGTGCCCACGTCGGCACGCTAATGCTACCATGCTAACGCTACCATGCTAACGCTACCATGCTAACGCTACCATGCTAACGCTCACGCTACCAGGACGTCTCCACAGATAGGGGAGTAAGCTGAGGGGGGGGGCAACATGCAGGTGAAAGGCTGGAATATTATAATGAGCTAGAGCTAATGACGTCAGAAACTACCCACTCCTGAAACCTCCTGATTTATCTCCTGGATTCACACTGAGGCGGCCCACAAAAACATGACCGAGTCATTTTTTTCACACTTTGCCTGCTGATAGGCCCTCCACAGTCCCAAATGTACGATTAAAAACTTGGTTTTGCATAATATGTCCCCTTTAACACATGAGGGAAGGGTGAACACAATAGGTGATGAGGAAGACAATTGGACAGGTGAGACACCAGGAAGTGGAAGTGACCTGAAACGAGATGAGGGTTACTCTTCAAAATAAAACAGGAAATGACAAGACCACATGGAGACAGGACAAACACCCCAAGCTAAATAACACCTCTGTGACACAGCAATTCTTTAGCTAAATCGGAAGATGCCAAACTCTCTGCTCGGACTCTATTTAGCCCTGTTTTCTTGGCCAGGGGGTTGTGTTTGCATGGCTGATTAAACGGCTAATGCAACACCTGCCATCGAGCACCTGGGGCCACGTCAGCGAGCGGCTCCGATTGGTGTAACGAGGACACGATCCCGGCCACGCCATGCGTCCGCGAGGCCGTTTTCTATTTCTATTTCAGTCCATCCGCTTAACGTTTATTAAGGGAGACGCCTTTGAACCTTCGGCCAGAAAAAGTCGCTGGTGTAAAAGCAGGGAGACGGCAAACCTGATTCAATATTCATGCCAAAAAAATCTGAGTAACCGGAGTACGGCTCAGGATGCCTTCGATTGGGTTACAGAGCTAACACGACCCTGATCTGTATCAGGAGGAAGTCTCAGTTTGCAGATCTAATAGGGACAGGATGGGGATTCAGATGAAAGCAGAGGTGGATCTCAGGTCAGGTGGTTTCCATTCACTGCCTCCCTAACTTCCCTAAAAACGGGTAAAGAAACCATCTAAAACTCCCTCGAGCCTCCTGCCACTGCATGGTGATCAGTTAGGATTAGGGTTGTCAAAAGTATCGATACTCGAAAAAGTATCGATACTAAAATGTTGTATCCGGATACGATACTCATTTTAAAAAGTATCGATACCACCGCCCCTTCTCTCTGATTTATTTATTTATTTATTTACGTTGTTTATGATCATTAACATGACGTTAGCCTTGCTAGCTGCGGCTAATGGCTAATAATAACATGCTACCATTAACCAAGTACATATCCAACTCCACCCACATCCAAGTCGGCCATTTTGATTAGGTCACCAATAGGAAGATCCCAGGCAAGAAAATCCTAATTGCTTCATGGCAATATAGACATTCATTTAAAAATAGTTAAATGAATCTTTCAAACACTTAATTAAATTCTATACATAATATTATGTTAAAATAGTGTATATTAAATCGGTTTGTACAATAAGTCCAAACAAATTTAACCAAAAAATATTTATTTCTCACAATTATGAAAGCTGGAGGGTTAGGGTTAGGATTAGGGTCATTAATGCGGGCCACCAGTCACGATAACATCAGTAACAGGTCAGTTTAAAATGAAAGACACAATTCAGTTCAATTTTGGGGTCTTTGTTTTTATCCTTGCGGTATCGAAAATGGTATCGAGTATTTTCCTGAGTATCGGTATCCAGTTGAAAATTTTAGTATCGTGACAACCCTAGTTAGGATCCATTCTCTCGATTCATGTCACCAAGTTGGAGGGGAAAAAAATTGAGACATCCGGCCTCTGTATTCTGCAGGAAACACCGTCACCTGATGGCTAAAGACAGAAAAAGCAGCTCTCCAGCTGAGAGTTCACGGCCGGAGCACGCTCTGAAACTACTTCTGATGGCCAGGTGGTTTCCATTCGCAAACGGAAAGCCGAAACCCATCCAGGTTGGGATCTTTATACTTTTTCTGGCCCGCGTGACAAACTGAGGGGAAAAAGGATTCACCACGGCTCTCCAGGTGGAAGGCACCGCTCGTTGTTCTAATCTAAAACATGAGAGAAAAACGTATAAGTCTAACAGAGGAGGAGACGAAGAAGAAAATAAACTGGATCCGAATGGCATTTTTTAAAAATGAATCCACACATTTAAAATTGCCTGTGCTTATGCTACATTACAGATGATAGAGGACGTCAGAGAAATGTTTTTTTAAACTTAATTTTTGGCATGTGGTAACTGGAGGAAGGGGGATCTCGTCTGTTTTAGCTTACGGACATTTGGAGATTTGATTAAAATCGAACAGTCCTTATCACACCATCTAAGTGTGCTAAAGTCCTGTTC